GCACATGAACGTGTCTGCGTGGCTCTGAATGAACTCCTTTTGAGGACGCGTTCTTCACACAACGACGTGCAGAAACACAGCAACTAAACTCTAAAAATTAACAGCGTTTTATTATAATAGTGTTCTCATTATAGTTATGTAGGCTATATGACAGTCCCAGTCATAGTTATTAATATTCTGCATTGTTGTTTGTGCTGCTGGCGCTGAAGAGATAATCACCATAGTACAATGAAGGCTTACTGCAGCACAACTCAACCAAATGCATCTTATACGAGATAAATAATATATACACGATATATATAAACCGGCTGAAATGTTTTGAAATCACTTGTACCCTACCTGATCGAAAAAAAAATCCAGTCTCTCACTCTGCCTGTGTCAGTTTGAGTCTTGTTAAAGTTTTAAATCCCTGCCGCCAAGATGCTTCTGTCAGTCATGGATTATGGAAAGTGAAACTAAGGGTGCTTTCACACCTGGCCTGTTGTTTCGGAACCTGGCGCGTTTCCCCCCTTAGCTCGGTTCGTTTGGGCATATGTGAACACGGCAATCGTGCCCGGATCCGCGACAAAACAATCGGTCCGAGATCGCCTGAACGAGGTGGTCTCGGCTCGATTGAAAACGAACTCTGGAGCGGTTCGGTTGTAGTGAGAAAGCAATCCGATCCAACGGATCAACGAATCGGGCTGTATCACAATTTATGATGGGTAATTACGTAAGTTCCGTGAAAAGCATTAGCTTTGTTGTTTTGCTAATACCTCAAAATGAACCAGTGAATGTCTGTGGAAGAGCACGTCTTCGCCATTCAAAAATTAAAGCGCACTTTATTTTATAATGCCGTCTTATTGCTCTTCTTTGTAGGTGCATTTTAAAAATGTTATCCCGATCAATCCTGGACTCCTGCTCAAAATGATAAATTAATATAACGACAGCTACAAAAAACAACAACAACAATAAGCCCGCGAAGCTGTTGTCGTTCCATCCGGACGGATGACATCTGTGACAGCTAAGTGGAATCCCGGAAAATAAACCGTGGAATTTTGACCAATGAGAGAACAGTTTACTCGCGCGTGACTTGTATTAACAAATTTGGTTCGTTTAGAAACTTTGCCGTGTGAAAGCGAACCGCTCCAAGAATAAAAAGCAACATTGTAAAAATTTTAATCCCTGTTTCGGAACAAAGCAATCGATCTGCAGGTGTGAAAGCAGCCTTAAATCTATAGGGGTGGTTGGATTTATTCCCGCACGTTAAAATATTTATTTGAAGCTTCTTTCTTTTCAGATTCTTATTTACAGCATTATTTTAATAGGCTGTATATTAACTTATTGGTAGAAAACCGGTAGTTCTGTGAAACCAGACATTTGAGCACCCCCATATAGCCAAAATGGCATGATCATACACCCCGCGAATATTCGACTGTGAGATTGGTATCGAATCAGTCTCCTCCTATCGAAGCATCGAATCTTCGACTATTCGGGGTCACCCCTAACATATATATACATACATATAGTTTTCATTTGTTTGGCCTAAAATCCAACATGACATTAAAATTAAGTATGAAATTTTGTATTAGTTTACGAGTGTTACATGTGCAATAACCAAAACTTTACCTAGAAATTATTCATCGACAAGGCTGTTGGAAGATTCCAAACATTGTCAGAAAAATATTACTTCATAACTGCAATGTTAATTCCCACAAGCATACAAACAACAAAATAAAAACACTGACGTTCTACATTGATTTGATTGATTTTATTTGTAAGGCACCAGAAGCATTTCCTTACTGCAGAAATTTCCATTTTTGTATAGTAAATGATTATGTACTTTGTTTTAATATGGAATGAAGCTATTTTATAACACAATTATTTTTGCACTGTAGGTTGTACAATATACATAAAATTAGGAGTTGAAAAACAAACAAAAATACTTTTATAGCACAGAATGCTTACAATGCTTTTAACAAATGGCAAAAGGCAAGCAAGGAATTCTGGGAGGAGACGGCTGTCAGGGGTTTAAGAAAGAAAGGAAGGGTCGACAACCTGTTCTCAAGTGCCTCGTGAGTTAAGAGTCCTAAAACACAGACGTATCATTCAAGACTGACACAAAAGCATCCATTTGCACATAAAGCTTTAGGTCTATGTATAACTTACACCTTTATAGCAAAACACTTCGCATTTGGCTAGATCTGATTCTGAACTCTTAATGCGTACGCAGCGACCACTACATTTTTGTCATTACTTTCAAAAGAAAAATGTCAACAGAATAGATTTGAGCATATGTAGGAAGCCACGAGGATAAATCCTGGCACTTCTTACATACATACACTTGCAGAATCAAACTAAAAACGTTTTCCAAAAAAAAAAAAAAAAAACGAGCAGATTTGTTTTGAAAGCACTACGATATCATCAGGTGGCCTTTCATTGACATTTCTTATGTTGGCACGGTTTAATTTTGACATTTAATTGAAAAGCGGTGCACTGTCCCATTAAGACACATTAGGAAGCAGCTTCACTCCTGAATCCGATATGGTTTAGCTGTGTCTACGTTATAGAAGGTGTCCATTCATGCAAAGTTTGGACCAACCAAATCTAAAGCATCCACAAAATTACAGACCTTAAAGAAAAAAAAGGTGTGAAAAGTCTGGTTTATATTTTCAGATCGAGAAAACCGAGAGGATAAAGTGTGATGTGTACTTTGGCATGAAAATGCGACACAATCTACGACTAGAATATTTCACGTAGTTTCAATACGAAAAAAAAAATCTTTGAGCTTTTTCTTGATGCTTACTCCAGATTGAACAAACGTTATACGAATTATTTATTTTTTGGGCAGGTCAAAAGCAGCATATTTTATATATGTTTGCAAAAACCAACATTGGACACTAAAGTGACCCTGAGGGTGTTAGTGTGGACTTGCTATGGACTTACTGCCCCCTCTTGGTAGAATCACATACTACATAATACAACATGACACTGGGATACCGAATATTCAAAACTGCAAATCTTAGCATTTACCTAAGTCCACTTAAGGTGACGTATTGTGCTAAAAAGTTATTTTGTCTTTGTTGGGAGGGCTTGTTATAAATCATACTTATGATTTCACATACTTCCTGTTTCTGTAGTGCTAGCAAAAAGACGAATAAAAATGTTTAAAGAAGGTGCTTCTCACTTCTTAAATACCTTATTCTCACAACTTACCTTCTAAGGAAAACAATATGACTCTCACCATGTAGACAATCGACATTACTATAAAAAAAGACTGAAAAAATATTTTAAACAGCATTCCTTTTCACTTGGTGAGGAGGTTGGCTAGCATCTCAGAGGATTCATCTAATATTCCCTGTCTAAGACAGCACAACAGCTTCCAAACACATTAGAAATCAGGCAAACAGGTAGATAGATATACAGTACGCTGGAGGGCCTAGTACAAATGTTCTTTCTTCTTTCAATACTACTCATCAAACAGTTTAAAGGGATAGTTCACTCTAAAATGGAAATTCTGTCACTATTTACTCACCCTCATGTCCTTCCAAACCTGTATGACTTATTTTCTTACGTGAAACACAAAAGGAGACATTTTGAGGAATGTCCAAGCTGCTCTTTTCTTACAATGAAAGTGAATGGTGACCACAGCTATCAAGCAAAATTTCCAGTAAATAATTATTGAAATCGCTTAAGTTTTTCACACAAACAGCTTCAGAACACTTGGAATATAGTACATGAGGGCATATGGATTAGTTTTGTGAGGCTTTTATGGTGATTTTTGTTCTTGACTGCTTTGGACTCCATTCACTTTTTATTGTATGGAAATGAGCAGCATGAACATTATTCAAAACGTCTCTTTTTGTGTTCCACACAAGAAATGAAGACAAACAGGTTTGGACTGACGTAAGGATCATTTACTCATCCTAAGGTCATTCCAAACCCTTGTGATTTTCAACTTTCTTCTTTTCCACACAGCAACCACATCTATCAAGCAAAATTTCCAGTGATTAATGACTTACATTTATCTTTTAATGTCTGTTTCTCACACAAACAGCTTCAGAACATTTGGAATATAATACATGAATCATATGGACTAGTTTTTGATAATTTATTATTTGTTGTTGTTTTTTTAGTTAAACAAAATTAGTTCAAATGACTATGTTTATGAATGTACTATATTCCAAGTGTTCTGAAGCCGTTGTATGAGAAACTTAAGAAATTTAAGTTACTTATTAGAAATTTTGCTTGACGGCTGTGGTAACCATTCGCTTTTACTGTATGGAAAGAAGCAGCATGAACCTTCTTCAAAATATCTCCTTTTGTGTTCCACAAAAGAAATGAAGTCAAACAGCTTTGGGATGACATAAAAATGAAACAAATCCTCATTTTAACTTGAACTGTCCCTTTAAGGTAGGACAGATGCAACAGCCATGCCTTCGAACAATAACACCGACCCTTTAAACTCTAAATGGATTATGCCGCGGCTAAGTTTTTAGATTCAAAGTTGCTTTTAGTCTCAGAGTTACTGCCTGGGGCCAAAGTGCTTTTGACTCAGTTATTGTAGATTGTAGCTTTAAAAGGTGAAAGATTTTAAGAGGAAGAGAGTGAGCGGGGGGGGAAAAACAAAGAGGAATTATTACTGAAGGGTCGATGGTCCATTAAAGGTCGCACCATTTTGTAGACCATTTCCACAACGAGCATAAGAAATATACAATATATATATATATATATAGATATATACATACACGCAGGCAAGAAATAGTGTAAATAAAATCAAATCAAGCATCCATAACACAATAAAAAGGTGGATTGGTATAAATACATATAGAGAGCTGGTGGAATGAACCAGAACGAATGACATTAGGCATGTGAGCACAGTAGCAATTTAGATAGAAAGATGGAAGGAGACTGGAAAACGAAGGAAAATAAAAAGGTGAAAAAAAACAGGGAAACAAGTGCCTCTACTCTACGTGGAGCTCTGGAGTATGATCAGATGAAGGAACGGGTTTGGCGGGCGACTAGTCGGACTTGTCTCCGTCTTCCTCGCGGTGGCTGTCGGAGGTCTCGCGTGTGCTCTTATCCTCCTTGGCCAGCTGGGCCTGAGAGGCCAGGATGCTGGAGAGGGAGAAGAGGCCGGAGCTGGAGGTGACGGCGGGGAGGCCGGCCGGTTGGCTGAGGCCGAGAGGGAGAGGGGTCATGGGCAAGGCCAGCCCCTGCAGCTGAGAGAGCTGGTGAGCCTGGAGCTGCTGCTACAGAACACACATACAGTGTTGTTACCAACATAATAGTAACTTTCGGTTACACTTTATTTTAAGGTGCCCTTGTTACAGTGTAATTACACATTTAAGTACCGAGTAATGTTAAGTAACTACATGTACTTACTATAAGATTAGGGTTAGGTTTAGGGTTTGGCTTACTTGCATGTAATTATGCATACACATGTAACGTGTAACAAGGACACCTTAAAATAAAGTGTTAACTTTCTTAGTTTACTTCTCATTACATTACTATAAAACATAGTTTCAGCTCTAAAGTATGACTTTTATATGTTACAAAAAGATTTCTATTTCAAATAAATGCTTTTCCTTCTATTCTAGTGGCAGCCGAAATTACAGCTTTGCCATCACATGAATAAATTACATTTTAAAATATATTCAAATAAAAACAGCTCACTATATAACTGACCCCAAGCATTTGAATGGCAGTGAATCTATCTGACCTACGTTACTTGGTGGAATAACGGTTTACTGTGATTATTTTTTTATTAATATTAATAAATGTAGTTATTTATTGAACAATGGTACTTTTTGAATTATATTGGTGCTATTTAATAAAAACTGTTATTTGATTAAGAAAATATCATTTTCTGTTGTATTTAATAATATAAAATAATTACATTGTATGACCTCTCGTACCCCCCTTATTCTATTGGTTATTTTATTTTATAATTGTATGGGTAGTATTACTTGTTTTTGCATTGTATTATATTTATTTTGCATTATTTTCAAATGTTCAAAGCAAATGCTGCAAATCTTTTCGCAATATAAATGTACAGTTTTTGTCATGCCAATAAAGCATGTCAAATTGAAACTGAAATTTAAAAGAGACAGAATGAACAAATTTAGAGCCATATAAATGCAATAATTACCATTAAACAGTCCCTACAGCAACAACGCACAAAAAGTATTAATAATGCATTTCTTTATAGATAATTAGACTGCCATCAACCAATGCAGATGCATTTCCATAAGCATAGCCTACTGTATAAACCTGTGTGCGCCCACATGA